AAAAACAAGAGAAACAGGGGAGAAGGAAAGAGAAAGAACATGTGAGAAAAACTGGACTTCATCCTCAGCTCACCTTCATGATGTCGAAACCTGAAGTAGTCCGTCATGTCTAGTGAGGAAAGGAGGAAACAAGATAACTACAGGCCATACAACTAGTATGCTTCCAACATGCATCGAAATCTCCCCCAGATGCTCCGACACTCAACCTTGTAATCAACCCCAGAGACGATTGTTGCCAAGCTTAGGATCTACACCATCTTACCCACAACTCCAACCCTGGTTGTAACCTGAAGTTAATGTACGGCTCAGAGGCCGCTAATTGAAGTGTAAGAGAAGACACCCGACGAGCGACCGTCGTAAATTCTTTCGAAAGTGAAGTGAGCTCGGTCAGTGTAGGTCTCACCAACTCTTTTGCACCCAAAATCGCAGAGTGGCACGCCAGGGACCTAGGCACCTCCCCGCCACTCCACATACCCAATACCAGCAGTATCCTCTTACCATCAATGTTCAAGATAAATAATAGACTATGTGAGGGGGTCTCGGATGGCTGCAAGGCGTATTTTGCCCACCCATTGCTCCAACTATCCGCGTGGTAAGCGTCGACCTTTGTGGCTTTGGGGGCCGTCGCAGTTCTAAGGATGACGAACCGATGTGGCTGTCTTGACAAGGGAGGATATATCATCTCCACATCGAATTTCGAATTGTCGTGCCCAGGCCACGGTGGCTATTTCCGGAAGGCCAACTCTAAAGTCCGGCTGCCATAGAATTGATCAGGTATTGATGGTAGTAGTGTCAGGGCGTTATAATTGTCCATGAGGTAGTTATTTTCTCTTTTTATTAACGACAAACAGTCACGATAGTGTGTCGTGATTCTGCCTGCACCCGTCGTTACTAGAGGTACACAAAGAGAGTTCGCCAGGGTTCTATCGTGGTAGGTTTGAGAACGATAGATGCTGAACAGGGAAAGCATTGGAAGAGCCAGGATCCTATCGGCATCAGTGCAGGGAAGAAAGAGGTATTGGAGACAATAACGTGTGTCAAAGCCCCAGAGGCCATCCAGCATTAGACCCCGCTGGCTGATGGCGAATTCGAGTGGCAGGCTTGGGGAACCGTTATATCTTTTGAGATTTCCGGCAAACCGGAAATCCGCAGGAGATGTGGCCAATAGCGGACGAGGTCTGGTTTTGCATGCTTGCTCACGTAGGTGTCGACGGTACACTTCAAGATCATGCGCAACATATCCATCAGCCGTATCCACATATGTATCACGGTCGAGAGGCATGCCATAACCCCAGGCGAGAATGGTGGCATCATCATATGTTTTCATGATCTCGTGTTGTAGTCGCATGAAGGCCTTCTTGCCCTCGCCGTAGAGCATAGGCATATTAATATCGAACAGCCCGAGCAGGCAGTACGCCTGGTCCTCAACTCTGGTGGTGTGTCTGTTGGCGGCCCACGACATCCTCGCAGCCACCGTGGTTTGCTGAAGCTTCTCTTCGATGCTTTTCCTGGTTTTCGGTATCCGCACGAGGGAGCCGTTTTTCTCCTGATTGTACACATCACCTTCGCCATACTCTGAGCCAGCTAGGCAATCGACTGGAATCGTGGTTGCTTTCGAGATACTTTCTGCCCAATCGCTACGCGAGCCTGACAACTCCCAGGAAGCATCGTAGAAATACAGAAGGTCAGGGGCCAGTAACTCCTGCAAGGTCCAGCCTCTTGTGAACCAACGCGAACGAGTGATATCAAAACTTGATGGGTCGGTGGATCCGCTGGGCTTCCGGACATCGGAGAGGAAAGCATAGCAGAGGGCCGACTTCCGGTACCACGCGAACATGGAATTGATGGCCTCCTGCAACTCGGCACTGCTTGACTTGTCGATACAGCAGGTATCGATCCAAATATATTCAAACTTGTCTCTCCATGCCTGACGGCACGCGTGCTTGACCTTCGCCCAAGCTGGAGTAGGCGGCTTATCTGTCTTTAACCAGATGGGAGCATCGGGTTGTTGAATGTCTTGGAGGCTGACCTCTTTTCCTTCCCATGTATGCGACAAGATGGCATATTTTGGGATCTCTTCACCCACAAACTCAACGAGTTCAAACGTGTCGGTTTTGAGTAGGCGCATCTTTGGACCGTCTCACACTCTCAGGGTAGCAGCGACTCATGACATTGAACTTCCAATAGTTGCGTGAAGGGGGTTTCTGTTGGTGGAAGGGTGACAATCCTTGAGAGAAATTCAAGCAGCGGGACTCTCCAGGAGTTGGCAAAGCGCGTCCGAAGACTAAGAGCAAACCGATGTGGTAAACTCGATGATTGAGTTGAGGCAAGAGGATGACGGGTCAAGTTCCTCGTCATATACACTCCAACATGGAAATTGGGTAGGTGACGACTTCCCAACAGCGATGATGCCTAGTGTGAGCTCTTTTATGTTCTGATTTAGTATTCTCAAACGTTTGAGGAAGGAGAGTGCGGGGTTGAAGAAAAAGGAACGCGAAGCTGAGCAATTGCTGCTGGGTACCTAGTTGCTGCCTCGAGACTGCAACCTAACCAACCCCCCAACTTAAGCGAATGCAGCTGTCCGTCAATGTTAACCGATCAAGGAGAACCAACAGAGGGGAATTGAATATTGATATCATGATAGTAGGCCACATCGTTCGTTAAGTAGAGGTAGTAAAAGACCAAAACACATCTCTTCGATCCGAAACCAAACTTCAGCCTCGGACAACGTCTGATGGTAGTAGCAAGCCTCCAAGAAGAAGTACAGATATAAGATAAAATGCTAAACACATATTATCACATACAACCATACCTACAGGTACCTACCAGAAGACTCAGGATTCTGTCCGCTCTCCTATAGATAAGCCAGTAAGGGGACTGGAAGGTTATCTATGGGTGCCGTTTTCGATAGATGTTTGGATTACTCAGCTGAAAACGCCGCCGCCCGTTTCTTGCAACCGTTTTCCATTGCCTTGGCCGTCGAGTGCACCATTCCAACTTACGCCAAGCCCAGTTGAGTAGGTACCTACCTACCTAGGTACTCTTGGCGGGCAATTCTGGCAAGGCATTTTCGCACCTCGCGATAGTCCCAACAAGTCAGTTGGAGGTGGATAACTTTGTAAATGAGTCTCGTTGGAGGCGAAAACGCTATGTCATATTAAGAAGGAGACTAATGTAGCACGCTTAGGTCCAGCCGTAGCAGTGGGTTCGTTCCATGCCGCCGTCCCGGATTACCGCTGTCGTTACACAGACTAACACAGCGGCCCGGGCAGGGGCTGAGGGCCTAGCCGGGCTGCGGCTAGGGGTGTGCTAGGGCGGGGATGACTGGCGTCTACCAGGCTGGTGGGTGCCTAGTCCTAGGTACCTAACCTAACACCATGCCCTGTACCATACCATAGACCCTTGAAAGTTTTTTGTTAGCGCGGTTCTTGTGATAACCTAAGGGTCTGCAAAACTTGACAGAAACATGACGAGACAACTACCACAGTCACAACGGAGAGATACATAAAGTGCACAAAGCCTCCAGATTGTATCTCGTTGATACCAACTTCTTGTATAAAATGTGGTAGAATGGTGGTTGAGTTGCGAAGAGTGTGTACGTAGTAAAGTTCCACGCCAAAGAACTTTGCAGGGGTGATGTGTAGACACTTTGTACTGCCAGGGGTTCAAGTAGTTATATGGTTCGAGACGCCTACTACTGTGATATATTAGACGAGTAATACTCTCTAGGAAGGTGCTTGTTGGGCGACGGGTATGAGGTGCGCAGTGGTACACTACACTGCATCAGTACTGTGGTTGCGAGCGAAAGTCAAAACCCCCTTGTCAGACACCTAGGCACCTACTCCACTTCATTAAACTTTGTACAACACTACACTGGGTAGGGTTAGGACGTCGGGTGCCCGGGGCAGTTGTGGCTCCGACGGAAAAGGGGACTCGACTTCCAGACAACTGAAAGTGTTCGTTCTATGACGAGGCCTAGTCTTTTAGCTGGAAAGCTGACATCTCTTTCTTCTCCATATAGCGCAGTCCAAGTTGAAAATCGACTAACCTCTGCTCTACAACAGCGCCAATCGCTACCTAGTCAAATCCTTCAGCTTTCCGGCTTCCGTCACTCCAACTGTCCCTACCTAGGAAAGAATAACCCCCAGAAACCAAACCTCCGGAAATCCGATACTGCTACATCACTGATACGCCCTTGTACACCGTGGTGGGAACGGGCTCCAAGTGGAATACGCTATCCAACCCTGTGGTGAGAATTTGCTATCCTTACCTCGATGAGGCCGGGGGACCTAGGTCACCAAATTACGCAACACGACTGGAAAAGAGGATTTCAGGACTCTCGGCAAGATAGTGTAGTTGCCACTTGAGCGAGCCGAGGCGGTAGGGGGTGCACATGCTTTCGGAGGCAGAGCACGTTAAGGGTTAGAGACCAGCCCCAAGACAATGGAACACCGGTCCAACAACACCAAGCTAGTAACCAACAACCAACTCTATCACAACGTTACTCCGCATAGGGAGTCGAGTGAAAAACTCGTCCACGCTAATACTTCCCTCTGCTCGGCTAGAACTTGTTGGCTTGCTACGCCAATTCTACAGGAAACAGGGGGCGGACAGGTGACAAGCAAGCCATTTGTTGTCTGAAAGATGGACGAGGGCATCTCGGGGTCTTGGCGGAGATGCCTGGATATGGAGAGACCGCAGACTACCGGCGGACGGTGACCGGCGGAGACATGAGTGGGAAAGAGTTGGGGTTTGCGAGTTCTTCGCTGATGCTCAAGGGGGGAGGGGGAGAATGATGTTGCTGTCGCCAACATCGGACGACGGACCGAATATCGACTAGGGACAGTCGATCAGTCAAGTCGATTAGAGATTTAAAGAGAACCGACAACCACTCTTTTCCCCCCCTCTCTCTCTCTTCCTCTACATCATCCCTATTCGTGGGCCTTTTCTGCTTCCTTCTTTGCCGGCAAAGCCTGCCATTACCAACCCAGAGGGGGCCACACCTACCCTCAACATGTGGCTCTTTACCCTTCTAGCCGTCCTGTTAGCATGTGCCCAGGTACAGGCCAAGGCAGTATTTGCTCATTTCATGGTGAGCCCGTTCCTACAACCCTCTAGTCTGCACGCATGGTACACAAGGAAACTAACTTTGAACTAGGTGGAAAATGCCAAATCCTGGAGCGTGGACCAATGGAAGGTCGATATGAGGCTGGCTCAAGCTGCCCACATCGACGGGTTTGCTCTGAACATTCGAGCTGATGATACCACTTCCGGCGTATCTCTATCCAGGGCCTTTGACGCGGCCGACGAATTGGGGTTCAAGGTGATTCTCTCGTTCGATTACGCGGGCGGAGGCCCCTGGGGCGCCAACCTCGTAAGTTCCATGATCTTGCTCTATTCCGGCTACGACTCGTATTATATCGACAAACAAGGACGGCCTGTCGTGTCCACCTTTGAAGGGCCGGCTCAAGCTGGGACCTGGCAGTACATCATCAAGAAGACCAACGCTGCCTTTATCCCCGACTGGTCGTCGCTCGGGGCTAAGGCGGCGCTCGAAGCTGCCCCTTGTGTCCCGGAAGGTCTCTTCAGCTGGGCGCCGTGGCCATGGGGTAACACGGACGGCAACACGTACGTGGATGCTTCGTACATTGAGTTCATGGAGACGGCCGAGAAGAACTGCGCCATGGACATGCAGTATAGTAAGTGGCTTGGACGTTACCCCTATGGCGAGAGCACGTTACTAACATTGAGTCCGTGGTATAGTGATGCCAGCTAGCCCTTGGTTTTACACCAATCTCCCGGGCTACAAGAAAAATTGGTTGTGGAGGGGCGACGACCTGTGGTTTGACCGCTGGGAGCAGATCCGGTTCATGAACCCCGACTACGTCGAGATCATCTCCTGGAACGACTTTGGCGAGTCCCACCACATCGGTCCCTTGTACGTCGAGGGTGACAGCTACGAGGCCTTACAGTCGGGAAAGCGCCCTTCAACTACGCCTTGGACATGCCCCACGACGGCTGGCGTGAGCTGCTGCCCTTCACCATCGACCTCTACAAAACCGGCGTGGCCACGATCGAACAGGAAAAGCTTGTGGCCTGGTACCGCGTAACCTCCAAGAACGCGGCGTGCAACGACGGATGGACCACGGGCAACACAGCGAGCCAACTGCAGTTGGAGTTTACACCCCAGGACGTGGTACAGGACAAGATCTTTTACTCGGCCCTCCTCGCCAGCAGCCAGCCCGTCACGGTCACCGTCGGCGGCGTCAACGTCGGCGCTACGTGGACGAAGACGCCCAGCGGCGGCGCCGGCATCTACCACGGCAGCGTCGACTTTGGGAGCAACACAGGCGCTGTCGTCGTCACGGTCGGGTCCATGACGGTCAACAAGCGGCCCATTGCGGCAAACTGCGACGACACGAACGGATACACGAACTGGAACGCCTTTGTAGCGAGCACCACGGGAGCGTCGGTGAGTGCCACGGTCAACTCGACGCAGTGGGTGTGTGTCGAGGGCACTGCGGCCGCTGGCTTCGACGAGCTCTGCGCCTTCACCTGCAAGTACGGATACTGCCCCGTCGGCGCCTGCCTCTGCACCAAGATGGGGCCCGGCAACAAGCTCCCCGGCCCCGAAACCCCTGGGTTCGGCACCGTGGGATTCCCGGCCAAGGGCAGAACAGCCAGCTACGGCGGCCTGTGCAGCTTCGCCTGCAACTACGGCTACGGCTGCCCCAACGCCTACTGCGACACGGTCGAGCACGAGCTTGTCATCCCCAGCGTGTCGCCCTTCACCCCGGACGCATGTACCTCGGGCGTCGGCGAGGGCGGTCTCGGCGGCCTCTGTAGCTTCTCGTGCAACTTTGGCTTCTGCCCTATCCACTCGTGTACTTGCACGTCGACGGGGGCCCTGCACGTCCCCCCTGGCGCGAGCGACACCATCACCGGCAAGGCGGACCCAAGCGTCGACGAACGCACCTACGGGCCCCTCTGCGAGTTCGCCTGCAGCCGCGGCTACTGCCCCGAGGGCGCTTGCGTCCAGTCCGACGTCGACGACGGGAACCCATACAAGAACGTCAATCCCGCCTACATTGGCCCCCAGGTCTACGAGACGCCGACGGCGGCCTGCGAGAGCCCTTGTGTCCTCGTCCTGCCCCCGAGTAAGCTCCCGGCCACCACGACGTTCCGCCTCCCGCCGTATCCCACCTCGTTCCAGGTCGGGTCGACGACCACGACGGTCACGCTTTACCCCGCCGACATCGTGACCGACCAGGTCTCCTTCTCCAACATCAACATCACTGGCGCTGTGACGGACGGAGCTGTCTTCCCCATGTGTACGAGCTTGAAGCCCGACGCCATTCCCGTCACTCTCAGCTACGTATCCAACGCCAAGACGACGGTTACCGTGCGCCAGGTTGAGCTGCCGCCGTGGCCCCAAATCACCCAAGGGCCGCCTGACCAGTGGACGTCAACGTGCGGCGGCTGGGTAACGGGCACCATCACCAACACCCACAACGACACCGACGGCCCCATCGCTTGGATCCCCCCGCCCACCGCCACTACAACGACTCCACGGCCAACCTATACTGGCATCTTCCCGCCTGCTATTGTTGAGCCTATCGTCGACCCCATAGACGCACAATGCCACAACAACCGCTGCCTGCCCGAAGGAGACGACGACAACGAGCACAGCAACCATGTGGTCATCAAAGTGAAATGCGACGAACTGTGGTTCTTCGTCTTCTGCATCCACACCGAGCATATCCAGGTCTTTGGTTGGAAGTTCACGTTCCCCAAAGCCGTCATTGGACCGTACGAGCTATAGCCCCCTTTCCCTTTCTTGCGCTCTTTGGACAGGTAATCTAACCACGAAAAAACATGCACAGGGGTCCGCCGCCGGGACTTAGAGAGCTCCCAGAGAGTTGGAAATTCATCGACCTCCCCGATTTCCCTCCCTGGCCCAAGATCACGTTAGTACTATACTCCCTATCTTGTTACCCCAGATGGCTTGATTACTAACTGCGGGCTCGCCAACGTCGCTGTCAGTATTGGACCGGACCTTACCTACCCGGACAAGCCTACCGACTGCGATGACAACAAACGGGAGGTTCCTGTGGAGATGTACACGATATCATATGGCCTCTCCGTATCCAACGGCGCCACAGTAACAACGACAACCAAGACTATTACCGAGACGGCCTACGAGACCGGCTGCCCCATCCCGGAATACACAACTACGGCCGCCTGCGGACACGGAAACGGCAAATCCAAGCGACAGACGGCCCTTTCCAAAATATCCCTTCCGGTTGCGACTGCGGCACCGGCCACCGCCGGCCACTCCCCGGCTCTTGTTGCCCGTGACGATGGCGATGACGAGTGCGACATGGACGAGAAGTGGAGCGCGGCGATTTACTTCTTTGAGACAGCTAGCGAAGTCGACATCTTGACTGTTGACCTTCATATCGAGCTAAGCGGCTTGGAATACCATCATTTCAAGCACGACCGTCTCGGAACCATCTTTATTTATGTCGAGGATGCTCCATTTCGCTTCTTGGTCGATATCGGCAATATGGAGGGGGTAAGTTACTGTTACCGCCACGTTCGTCTTCCTTTCGCGGGTGCTAACCTTGTCATCTCTTTTGTTTGCAGGTCGACCCATGGTCTATAGAAAAGTGGAAGAAGGATGGTATAGAACTACACACTAGAAGCTGGGGAGCTGGATCGGGGCCGGTTTTCAATGCGACCAATCTGCGCAAGAGAACCTTTGACAACCCGTCCTATGACCGTATGGTCAGCTGGCACCGCTCGATGGTCTCGAGCTACCCGGGTCAGGAATGGAACCTCGACGGCGAAGCTTTTCACGAAGGCAATTACATGGTATATTACCATGATGGCATCCTGGGCAGCGGGCAGTACCTTTACAACTTTGATGAAGGCGTCAATCCGGTATGTGCTACAGGACTATGTTTATGGAATACCAGCTGACACTACCACCCCTTAGGATGATGATATTAACCTCGACAACATTGAGGAATTTCATTACGAACACAGTATTAACAACGGGCTTGACATGCATAATTACATACACGGCACAGGTGTTGCTTATTATGCTGTCGGCCGGACTCTTGGGATTGCTCCTGGGGCAACCTTTCTTGTTATGGAAGATCCGCTAACTATGGACACGAATAAGACGGGCTACCTTGAGATCAATCTGATCCGCTTGCTGGGCATGATCAATGACATTGAGAGCAAAGGAAGGCAAGGGAAGTGCGTCATAAACATATCAATGGTTTGGGTTGTTCCGGAGGGTGCGACCGACAGGTGGCTGTCTCTATTCAGTAAGATCTCTCTTTCTGTCTCTCTTTCTCTCTCAAGAGTTGCTCTAACGTAAGCATGCAGGAATGATGCTTCGCTACACGGAAACCAACCTCCAGTGCGTTGTGGTCATCGCTTCCGGAAACGTGGAAGACATTCAGCGTTATGCAAACGCAGCAGTCCCGGCACGGTGGTCTCTCGACGGCAGTCTCCCCGACACGTTAGTGGTCGGATTTGCCTCCAATCATGGCTATCGTGCCCTGGGTAGTCTCCCGTGGAACATTGATGGACGGCTTGACGACTCATCAATGGTCTTCGCCCCCGGTTTGATGTTGTGGAACAACACGGGAATTTTTCCTGGTGGAAGTTCTTTTGGTGAGTCTCTAGCCTTCATGCATTCTGTTATTTTTTTCGAGCTTCAAGACTGATAGTTGTCCGGTATGCAGCTGCCCCTATGGTAGCAGCCCTGGTCGCATATCTCCGCGCGCTTCCCTCGCCTTTCGCCGAGGATTTGAAAAAGACGGTGTTCGCAGTCAAGATGGTAAAATATTTGACTCGCAAAGTCAATGTGATTGATCAGCTCGAGGATTATTTCCCGGACCTTGAAGAGATGGGAAATCATCGCAGAATCATCTGGAACGGCAACGTTGGGGTCGAGAACTGCCTCGTTGGCTACCGTTCTGGGTTCAAGTCTGACGAGGCTAAGGCCGTTTGCGAGGTGGTAAACGAGGGCTTACCCGAGCCAGGTAACACGGACAATTGGACCCCTGATACCAGATACATCGACAACAACTTTCCACTCAGATCAGGCTCTAGCAACGGCGGCGCTGTAACCTGGTAAGTGACACTTTCTATGCCTACCACCGTATCCATCACTAATAGCAAACAATAGGCACTCGGGCGCGGTATCACCAACCTGCACCGCCAACTGTGGCACACTGTGCACTGGCTATTATTGCGTACCCCAACCTACTGGTAGCCCGCCAGACTTCTCTGACCCCGTCAATGAGGTCGTGACCAAAACAACCTCTACGACGGCCCAGGCCACAACAACCAAGGCCACAACGACCATGGTCACCACAACCAAGGCTACGCCGACAGCCACCGTGCAGCCGCTTACGCAAGGTCCTATTCACTGTCACGACGAATCCGACCCTGAGTACGCCAAACACGAAGACGTCAATCCCAAAACGCAGGACCATTATTCGCAGGTGTTTATGGACGCTAAATGGGACACGATCGGACCGAACGATGAGCCACGTGTGTTCCGTTATGTCCAGTCCGATAGCTTGACGTACGTCTATCGCGCCGAATGGGTCAAGGGGTGCGTTACGACGGTCGAGAAGCAGGACTTCCATTACCCACTGGGCCAGTCGAGTTCCGATGTCACAGCTTACACGCTCGTGAGACAGAATTATCTATCTTGTGAGTTATTTATCTCCTCTTTGGTTTCATTATCTTCTACTATGGGCTTTCACAAATGGGGGGGGGAAGACAGAAAGAAATAGAGAAAAAAAAAAAAAGAAACGAACTAACGCTTCAATGTCTACAGGCAACAACCACGGTGTCGGTGGCTGGACACAGGTTGGCTGTGTCAAGTACGACTTTGCACCTAGCGTATGGTCCACTGTGCCTTGAAATCACGGTGTCAGTCCCGACTTGTGTAAGAGAGCCGCTAGATATATACTCATAGCGGGAGAAAATAGCCATGTAGCTGGCATCTAAGCTAGATAGAGAGGTTCCTGTACAAGATAAAGCGTTTAGCCTTGATACTTTCATCTAGGGTAGACGGTTGAAAAAAGCATTAAATGGTTGAGAGCTTTTCTCCCTTAAAAGAGTGCGCGCGCAGTTTTCTTCAATGTTGGTTTTTAATCAACTCTTTCTGTCTTCTGTTTTCCTGCCGCTTTACTTTTTCCTCTGGGTCGTACATTTCCTATTTCCCATCCGTCCGTCTTTCTGTGCTTCCCGCACCGCGACCACGCCTAAGAGACAACCCCAGTATTCATCTTCCTCAGTGGAGACCGGTCTATTGGAATCAGATGAATCGTTTGACTTCGATAAAGGTGAGAGAGAAAGAGGTGGGTAGTTTCGGTCCCAAAGAAAGGTGAGTCGATCGTTGGGGATAAGGGAGCGACGACGGGTGAGTGTCATGTCTGGTAGGTAGTCAGTTTGAGCAAGCGAGAATTATGGATACTTAGGTAGAGATGCCCGTGATCTCTGCCTGGCCGATGCGAGCGAGATGGATTCCTTGGGTTCCAGAAGGAAATCGAGGTCGATAATGCGGCCTCTATGTGGTCTCCTCGTATCGAAGAAAAAAAACAAAACAAGCACGTCACTATATGCAGTTTCTGTGTTAATCTCCTCCTCCCACTACTTTTTGCACTGTCCACATTATCTCTATAGTAGGTAGGTACCAATCGGTGTCTGGTCACTGTGAGGACGCGCCGAAACAGGATCTGATCTCTTCTTGCATTGTTTATCCACAGGTAAACCAAGCGTAGAGGTAGTCTCTCCATCCGTCTCGTGGTGGTGGTGCCAGTGTTCGGTATTGATATGGGCGCCTGTTATCGACTTATTGATATCTTGACTAAAACTCTTTGTTGAATAGATTTATTTGTGATGCTGATGCCTGCTTGGGCGTCATTACGAGCAGCAGCTACTATTGTGAAGAGGGCATATTGATAGACCTCGGCCATAAGCTGGAGCTGGGCAGCTTTGTCATACTTGCAGGATATTTTCGTGGTCGTTGCCCTATACATAGCGAAGAGTTACATACTGGATATTCCCAAGACAGTGCTTCGTGAACTCAACAACTACTCAAGTATTTGTAGCGACAAGGTGAACGGTAGAAGCCGTTCTGTTTTGGCTCCCATGCAGAGGATAAGTGTTCTTTGTGGTCCGCCGAATAAGTACGTAGCCAGCGCCGCGGCAGGTCAGGGACAATGATGGCCGGCCTCTCGCGCGCCCACCAAAGAGGCTGCGTGGTCTGTGGATGCTGGTATCGATGAAATTCAAGTCCTCTGCCGGACCCAGACTCTGAAGGCAGTCGAAAAACGTAAGACTCGGCTGCCGCGTATAAAGGCAGTCACTGGTACGTTCCACGTTAAGGTGCGATGGGGAGAGACAGACTAGACCTCACCGCTTTTGCTTCACGCGCTCTTTATATCGTGTCGTTATTGCCAGCGCATCTAGACACCTCGATCGCAGGTCCATCAACCAACCCCCCTCGAAATCGTTGGTGGTCGTATACAGTCCAGAAATTCTAGGCAAGGTTAAAATGGCTTGACAGAAGGGACAACTGACTGCAGAGCGGTCTATGTGCGACTTTGCTTTTCGAGCTTTTTGGTCTCACCTGAAGCCCGGCCTCGATAACATACTGATTGACGCCTCTTTGGGGTCCATACGGAAAGGAGTACATACTCCTCCAGAAGATCTTTTCCTTGGGTCAAAGCCTGTAAGCTTTCAATTCAAGGGTAAGGAGGCGCATCGGTTCGAAGTCGATGGCTGCGCAGTATGTAGTGTAGTCGCAGAGCTCGCCCGCGTCCGGAAACATTATCGGATCTTCGACGCCGTAGCAGGGGAGTAGTACAATTCTGGGGCTTTCGCTTGTTAGCCCGGCTTTTTTTTTTTTTTTTTTTTTTTGGCGGTGTACGCAGCATCGTTTGTGGCGATGTCCATCTCGGATGATACTGAACAGACCCGTCTCCAGATCGATTTCCAAAAAATGACCGGGAACAGAACATCATGCCATGATGCCGTTTGTGCCGTTAATGATGTCTGAAGTGGAAGTCAGATCAGACGTGAGATCTTGTGCGACTTGAATACTCCAATTCCGTTGTTGTCTCTCATTCCAACACTCTTTCCGAACTTAAGAAGTTGAGACTTCCCTTCTTCCATGCCGTCCAATCCGGTTCGATGGAATCTTTGCCGCGCAACACCCGCGTTGTTCATAGTGTAGTGTCCGAACCCAGACTGCCGGATATTGCTTTTCTTTTCATCCTCGGTTGTTTGGGAAATGGATCCCTTCCTTGCAGCCCTGGAAGCATTTGGAACGCTACTATGGTACGAACTTACTTGGAGGAAGAAAGGTCTTCGGGCAATTACGTGCATCCTTTCAAAAGAGTTCCCACTTTAAGTCGTCACAACTGTGGCTGTGATTGGTTGATGGCGGCCCATGGACTCCTTCCCCTTTTGCCGGTCACCGAACTGCCCCCCCAGAACGGTCCCCCAAATAGCGCCGGGATACCGGAGCATGGCATGGGTGAAAGGGAGAGATGCCCCATAAAAAAAGAACCACCCCCGCTATAATGGATCTGATGCTAAAACACGCAACCCCGCCATTTATATCTCGATCTTCAATTTCCCAAGCACATGCTATTCTTCCTGCTGCCATTGACTTGTATGTAGGTAGTCTCGGGTGTCAGGATCAAGTGCCGGATCGCCGACCACCACTGAGGGATATTTGGACTGCCTAAATACATCGATGTGTTCTGGTAAAGGGTCAGACACAGACACACCAGGGGCAACCTCCAGCGCGCCGTCTGTCTGACTGACCATCTTCGGTGGAGTCTCGGCCGAGTCAATTCATCAGTACAAACAGCACTGGTCAGGAGAACAAGACAAGGAACAAGAGACTAGAACAAAGAAACGGCATGTTGTCTACAGTATCGAGATGTCCAACAAATGCTAGATGCCGAGTACTACCAGGTAGCCAAGTGGGATATCGCCCGGGGGCCACACGGAAAGACTCCATCCAACCTACCACATGTACTCCATCAGATTCCCCATCAGTTTCCCCGTTCTTATTCTTTCACAAGGAAGGCCAAACAAGTCCCCGGACCCGGCATGTATGTATGGATTAGATGGACCCTCCCATCATCATATGCTCCATTCGGGTCTTGGTGATGATGTAGAGAGGTATCCATCCCCCGCCCGTGTTGGCAGCCCTTGTTGCTTGTGGACACTCAAACCACCCAGAGCCAAGAGAGGCTGTGGGAAAGCTTTTGAGATGTTGGACGATACTCGAGTCGCGTGCATGCATGGGTTAAGTTGTCGGGTTTGGAGAATCAAGGAATCCCTATAAGACAGGGCGTTTTCCCGGTCACCCGGTATTCTTATTGTTGTTTCTTTTCCTTCTCTTTTCCTCCTTTCTTTCCTACCTACCATCCATCCATCTTCGACATCTTTGACATCACCACCACCGAGGTGCCACCACCACCAACAACAACAACAACCACCACATCTGTCCAAAGCGGAGGGCATATTAACAACACCGTCTAATCATTATTATACTACCTACCTACCTACACACTCCTAAATACAAACACAATGGTTCCCATCAAGCCCCACTGGGTCCAGCCCTCCCACCCGGACCGTCTTCACCTCATCGTCAACGAGGCCGAGTTCACGTCCAAGAGCATCTCCAAGATTGCTCTGCCGCCCTTTGCGCTGTTCGCCAAGCTCGAGTTCCCCCCCTGCACGCCGGCCGACAAGCCGACATATGCTACCGTCCAGTGTGGCCGTGACAAGCACCTGGATCTCAACAGCGATTTGCTGTACATCAACCACTCTTGCGAGCCGTCTCTTGTATGTGTAGTATTCCTGCCTGCCCTTCTCCTCTCTGTAAAAAAACCCTCTAGTAACCCAAGGTATATGTTAACGAAATGTAAAAAAAAATAGATCTTTGACACGGGTAACATGAACGTCATCGCCGGCCCGAAAGGGATTCAAATCGGCGAGGAATTGACTGTATTTCCCCCCTCCCCTCCTTCCCCTTCCTTCCTTTCTTCCCCCCCGGCAACAGGCAGACTAACACCACCCCCACTGCAAGTTCTTCTACCCCTCAACCGAATGGACCATGGCCCAGCCCTTCGACTGTCTCTGCGCCAAACCCACCTGCCGCGGCCGCATCTCCGGCGCCCGCGACATGACCGACGCCCAACTTTCGGGTGCCTGGCTAAACGGCCACATCCGCGACCTTCTCGAAGAACAGCGCGGTTGTCCCACCTTTTCTTCTTCTTCTTCTTCTTCTTCCTCTTCTCCCACCACTTCCTCTTCTATCCCTACCGCCACTACTGCCAATGCTTCCACCACCACCACCACCACCACCACCACAGCTTCTTCTTCATCATCCCTCAACGGCAGCAACTCCGCCACTTACACCATCCCCGAAAAGAACTCCTCTGAAAAAAACGGCTTCCACAAAGTCGGAGAGTTGGACCAAATTGCGCAGAGCCTTCGAGATGCATTGACGCATGCCGAAAAGGTGGTGGAAGCCGCGAGGAATGCGCTGATGAGCTATGTCGGGGCTGTCAATGATGCTGCTACTGCTGCTAACAATGGGGCGGCGAAGAAAAAGGAGGAGGAAGAGGAAGAAAGTCCCGAGGGGGCGCGGAGACGGGGGCCGACGAGTAGGGAGCTTAGTGGCGAGATGGGGGGTGATACGATGGAGGTTTTGGCTTAGGGGAGAGGGGGGGAGGCATGTTGCTGGATATACAACCCTAAAGGGGAAGGGGATATGATATGAAGCACATGCCTACCTACCTGTGTTAATGGTGGAGGAGGGCTGCTACGGTCTCTTTTTCTTTTTTTGGATATGGGAGGAAAACAAAAGAAAAGAGACATGAGCGGCCTGAGGAATCTGCCGTCCTGTCGTTACTGGTTGTTTTGAATTTATATAAAACCTTGGAAACAGACAAAAATCAGTACTGGATATGATAGCCAAATACGCACTGTACATGGCGAAAGAGTGAAAAAGGGGTGAAGAAAAGGGGTGAGAAGATATCATGGATATAGAAATACATATTGTTGTACAGTAAAACAATGCTTGCCCTTTTGTCTTTGGCAGCGTGGGACCACACTTCTCGCCCTGAGAAGGTCCTTCATTATCGTCCTCATCCTCATCATGCATCCCAAAACACACCAACCCCAGGTTTCCCATTCCCAATGCCATCAATGTCCCTCATAAACCCAGCTACCAGCATCACCTCACCTCACCACCTGCTTCATCAGCCTGCCTTGCCGTAAAAGCCGGACATGTTCCTCCTTCCCCTTCCCTCGCCCCCTTCATCCCACCCAACAACCAATCCGTCAACCCAACCACCGTCGCACCCACCCCCTTTTCAACCTCCCCATCCTGCTGCGCATGCTCAATCGTATGACTCAATATCCTCCCCTCCCCATCAAACTCAAAGATGAACAGCCCCGTGAACTCTGACTTCTTGCTGTTATCCCTCCCCGCCGACGGTTCCGCATCGCCCACCGGCGCTTTATACTCCGTCGCCGTTCCCTTGTCCGCTGTTTCCCTGACCCCCTTCGTGTCACTTCCTGCCTCGCCGCTGCCATTGATAAAACTCAAGCCCCAATTCTTGGCGTTGCCGATGGTCCGCCAGCGCACAATCAATTGCTCGGGATAGGCGCCAATGCGCCGGTTTTGCGACGGGGGTTTGTAAAGGGGGCGGTCGACCATGCGTTCGGATAAGATCTCGAGGCGGACGTTGCCGATGATTGGGAGCCGGTTCCAGGCCAAGGGCGCGGTCCATAGGGCGGCAATGTAGGCGACGCGGCCCCTGACGGTCGGGAGGTGCGGGTGGGTGGAGGGGAAGAGGTGGAGGGAGATTTGGGGGGAGAGGATGGAGGTGGGCAACGGGGATTGGAGGATGGTTGGGAGGTGGGCTTGGAGGATTCGGAGGGCTGGTTGACGGAGAGGATGGTGTTAGTTTGTTCGTTGTTGAAGATGATGGAGGGATGAAGGGGGTTCGCACTTTTGCCTAGCTTGACTTTGCGCTCGTCTGGGGGCTTGTTCAGCCCGCCGGGGCCATCTGGAGGTCGGATCTCATCGCTGTTGGATTCTGATTTTGCGGGGGTTTGAATGTTGTTGTTGGGGTTGAACCAGGTTTCGGGGAGGTTGCGCGGTTTCGTTTCTGGGAGGGTGGATGTTGAGCGCTTGTTGATAGTGGTGTTTGCGACGGATGCGGGTGACGATGATGCGCCACTAACTTGTGTTGTTGATGATTTGGGTGGCAGCGGCTGTGATGAGGTCGGTTGCGAATGTGTTGGAGGCTGGTTTGAGAGAAAGTAGGATCGGCATTGGGCTGGTTGTTGTTTGCCCACCACACCACCAGCTACTATTCGTATCCTCGTGGGCGCCGACATGGTGCAGTGGGTGTTTAAACACTTTGGTGGTCGGGTACCTGGGCCGACACGAGTGGACTCGCAACGTGGGCTGTCGGAACACGCCGCGCTGAGATGGACACTGTAAGTATGTATAATATGGGGTGTGTATAGGGCTGGGATGCAAGATAAGACCGGGTTGAATGCAATTTGCAAGACTGTGAAAACGCCAAGTGGTTGACTTGTCTCTCTGACGAAGAGTGCCGCACACCGGGTGGAATGATGTCAGTGACGGATTGGCTCGGATGGTTGACCACACAGCTGATAAGAGGGTCGGGCGTCTTAGTATCGTATCGGAGTACTATGTATCGGTATGGTAATCGGGTGGATCAGCTTCCACTTGCTCACCGGGTCTCCCCACGGACAGGGATTCCGATAGCGACGTTTTGTGGGGTTGGATCTTGATCATCAATACTCTATCCATGGACATTGTGATTGTAGTGTAGGTCAGGAGTCTTTGAGAGCAACATAGTTGCATAGAATGAAACTACTTATGCTTCATCGTGATTTTAGTTGTGGTCAAATATACAGAACCTTGAGGTCCCATTTGGCACACTTCGGTGTTTCACACGAGCCTTGTCTTATCGGCAAATATAAAAGTGGAAGGTAGGTACATAGGAGTGCTGGATGATGGAGCCCGAGCTAGAAGCTTCCTAAAGATCAGGAGTTCGTTGGACCCGTGAATCAATGTTGCTCCCAGATCCAAAAAAAAAAAAAAAAGGGAATCATTCATTCATTCATTGATCCATTCATTCATTCATTCATTGGAAGCCCATGTGGACACCGCTCAGGTGGCCCAGCCTCCAACCTGGAAGTCTACGATAATAAAGGAAGCCATGGGAACAACGACAAAAGCACTTTCGAGGCATACCAAAACAAAAAAAAGTTTCGTAGCCGTACTTTGTTGTCGCCTCTTGGACAAACAACAACCTGGAATCTCAACCATATTTCATCATCATTGTCTTTTTGTCTTTTTTTCGTTTGGGACTTGTTTGGCTGTGAAATGCACATCATCGGGACGACTCCAAAATTGTTAATGCAAACTGTACCGTAACTGAAGTGGGAAAGGGTCAGGAGGCGGCTGCTGCGTCACGTGCATCGTCACCGCTTGAGTCCCCTGTTTTGGATGGATAGGTGTCCCGCCTCTTGGCCGGCGGTCGCCAATCACCCCCCCAGTGGAGGACCGGGACCCTCTGACGCCTTGACGCAGCTGACACTGGTGGTGAGCCGCCCGGAGAGTGTGCGGGTGGTGTGGGCTGCCACTGCCACTCGCTGCCAGCAGTCAGCCAGGACAGCCGAGGGCGCTCTCCCATTCCATCAACTGTGTTGCTCTGCTCTGCGTGTTGCCCGTTCCAGGTTCTATGCTGCGTGCTGTTGCTGCCTTTCCAATCCTCCACATCATCAATCAATCAACCAACAGACCGACCTCCCACCCCCAACGACCTACACCTAATCTCATTCAACGAAACCATCCATCTTTCGCTCCACCACCGTCCACCATACGATACCCGCCTTAATTCTTCGCTGTCCAACTCAACCCAACACCACCACATCGCATAGCGCGTCCCTCGTTGCCCATCATGAACCCTGAGTAGTAGGTTTAATCACGTCTCCTGTTGCCCTTCTCCTGCTCTTCCCAAATCCCCGTAAGCCGCCGCCACGCTGCCGGCCCTACAATCATCGCCGCCGCCCGTATCCCATGTTGTTTCCTTGACGGATTGCTAACATGTTTGACCTTCAGGGTGCCCACCGCTTCCCCTCATCACCCGACGTCGTCCCCTTCCCTTTCGCGACTCGACCGATCACCGCCGCCACCACCCCCAAAGAACCCTGCTGACGATGCAACCAGATACGACTACCTCTTCAAGCTCCTCCTCATCGGTGACTCCGGTGTCGGAAAGTCTTGCTTGCTCCTTCGTTTTGCCGACGATACCTACACCGAGTCCTATATCTCCACCATCGGTGTCGACTTTGTACGTCCTGCTATCCTGCCTGCGCAACACATCCGTTCGATCCCAATCAACATGCTGACCGTTTGGCTAGAAAATCCGCACTATCGAGCTTGATGGCAAGACCGTGAAGCTCCAGATCGTAAGCAACCCCCCGGCACTCCTGGACACCTTGGAAATCCAAATTCGCTGACCCAGTCGCTTATCCAGTGGGATACCGCTGGCCAAGAACGTTTCCGTACCATCACCTCTTCCTACTACCGTGGCGCCCACGGCATCTGCGTCGTCTACGATGTCACGGATATGGACTCTTTCAACAACGTGAAGCAATGGCTTCAGGAGATTGACCGTTACGCCACGGAAGGCGTTAACAAGCTTCTCGTCGGCAACAAGAGCGATATGACCGACAAGAAGGTTGTTGAGTACACAGTCGCCAAGGTACACAGCCACCCCTAACCCTCGGAAACGCGTGTCTAAGCCACATACTTACACATCAACCAACAGGAGTTCGCCGACAGCCTGGGCATTCCCTTCCTCGAGACCTCCGCCAAGAACGCTAGCAACGTCGAGCAGGCTTTCCTTACCATGGCCCGCCAGATCAAGGAGCGCATGGGCAGCTCCATCGCCACCAACAACACGAAAGCCAGCGTCAACGTCTCCCCCGGCCACGGCGTCTCCAACAACTCTTCCGGCGGCTGCTGCTAAAGCGTCTGTGCCTTGCGGCATTGGTTGCGCTCTTGGCGTTACGGTTTCGCATCGGACGGTGTTTGACGACATGATGATGCGATTGAATGTTACGGCGTGGGCACTGGGTTGAGCTGTAATGCAAATATTGCTCTAATGGGATCTCAGTTGGGAATGTTTCGGCTCTGCTTCTGTGGTTTTGCGAGGAACGTTATGGCAGGAGACTTGAGGCGGCTTTACATGCTACCTTGGGGATTCATCACACGGTTCCGCGGGCCCTTCTTCGCTTGCCGGGACAGGTTAGGGTGGGGCCTCAGAGGATGGTGATCGAACGCACCGGAAAAGGGAGCTTAATAGTTGGCTCATCACCAGTGTCCGTCACGATTCCTGGCAAAGGGCAAGGGGGGAAAGAGTGGCTGGCTGAGACATGGGATGGGCGGCGGGCTTCTTAGAGAGCTTCCACGACCCTTGATGATGTTGGGGGTGTGTGTGTTGCGTGTGTGTATTTTCGGTCTTGGGCATAACTGAGGACGCGGCACGGTTTTTTTTTTTTTAACACATTTGTTACTTTTGGTTTTTTTTAAGGAGCTAGACTACAGTTTTTGCTATTTTTTGTGTTTTTGAGGCAAACCCACTGATCTTTCCATGCTACAGCTCTCTCACACAGAGGAAACCTTCCGCTTCTGGGGAGATGACCGGCACATTTACACCAAGAAGAACCACACGTACAGGCACACCCATGCATAAGAAACAAACGCTCATCAGACTTCAAGCCATCATCCAGCTATGCACGTCCTCGATGGTCACTTGCGCTTGGTGAAGTCTCTCATAGCAACGGACTTGGTTATGCTAGTAGAGTTCGATAGTCCAACTGGATCTCTAAACATTGAGATTTTTGACATCCTGCCGGCTGATCCAACGGCCATGATCAGACTGCTGAGGATAACCTACTCTCTAGGGTCTTGACAGCAGTATATTGATGAGAACTTTAACCATCAGTCGGCAGATGCCCCTTGTCCCATATCACAGATAGTACAGTCAGCCATATCAGAGTCGAGGATTTGTTGTGTTGAAGCACCCTAATTCAGTAATCGCAGGTATGAACAGCGCAAAGGTTGAAGAGACACTCGGTTATAAAAGCTTGCTTCATAACCATACCGTAAACAAGATTTGACTTTCCATCTCTTGTCAAGCCCTCTTCTTCTCCGTGGTGAAATTGCATGCTATACGTACCTCTACCTACATTCTCCCATACTTACTGATCTCGGGACTCTTCGTCTGCGTTGATAGACTAACAATGGTACCTCTATATAGTGATTGTGGGTGCAGTGAGTGAATGAGTAAGTGAGTAGACGTATACGCATTCTGTCCCCTTTTCTTCTTCTTCTTCTTCTTCTTCTTCTTCTTCTTCTTCTTCTTCTTCTTCTTCTTCTTCTTCTTCTTCTTCTTCTTCTTCTTCTTCTTCTTCTTCTTCTTCTTCTTCTTCTTCTTCTTCTTCTTCTTCTTCTTCTTCTCCCTTCTTTGTTTCCCTCCTTCCTTCTCTTTCTTCCTTCTCTTTCTTCCTTCTTTCTCTCCCCTCTTTTCCTATTATGCCACTCACCTCCCAAGCTTACCCCTTACAACAAACATGTACCTGTAACAGTTTCTGGAATATCAGAGGCAGGTTTCTCCATAAAGAGTGAAGAGAAGACAGACGCAACACAGAGGCTGGTAACGTCGGGCGCCGAATGAATTCACCAGACGTCAGACGTCCATCCATTGTTCCAAAGTCAATAAATGATATCCATCTGATTGACCATTTTCTCGAGACAAAAGTATCTGGCCGGCTGTGGCCCTTTAAGCGGTCCTTATAATCAAGCAGTGTTTAAAATTTTGAGTCGTCCATTTTGTGATGGACACTATATAGATATATAAACAGATAGATAGATAGATACCTTATGTTTCTCGTTTCTACTATTAATTAGTAACTCACATTTTACACGGTTGGAACGTTTAGGCTTCAATCGGTAGATAGATACCTCGTTAGATCGTGTAACTTACCTTTTGATTGATTGATTGACTTGTAAGACGGTTGCTGTTATACTTATGATGAAGGTTTGAAAGTTAGTATATATATAGTTATTGACGGTCCATAACAATTAACTCGCTGAATCAGTTCAAGATATCAATACAATTCAAGGTAAGAGTCACTTTAATTGAGCTTGAGAATGTTTATAAACCCAGGATAACTCAATCAGGGCACCATCTTGAATCATCTTCTTATCCATCATGGCCCTGGCTCCCGGGGCAGAGTTGGAAATCAGTACGTACTAAATACTACAGTTAGAGTAGTACTAATTGTATCAAGATTGTAGTACAGGTCAATCACGAGACTACCTAGGTAGACTAAATCCCCTATTAGGGGTCATGCCAGGGATAATGTGCGTCATACCCTCCATATCCCTCCTTGGGATGGCACGTGTTCGCACTACAATCGTTATATGCGGTGATTTTGGGACCCATCCAGACCCAAAAGAAATAGCACCGATTCATTACCGCCCCTCCCAGTTTCTCATCCGCCCTGTGGCAATTGCAAGCATCAATGGCTACGTGAAAGTACTTGATGCACTCGTCCTTGTCGTGCACATACTCACACCCGTCCTCGACGTACAGGCCCCATTCGATCCACCACACCTGCTGTTGTTCTTTGTTCACAAAGCTCACCGGTACCGTTTGAATGCGGAGTTTTACCTTGAGCGGGCCCTTGAGCACCTTGCCGTGGAGCGGGCTCCCGGATCCGCAGAACCGCTTCATCTGCTCCATGGCGTCTGCACGGCTAAACCATGGCATAGTTTTACGAAGATCGTCAAACCCCCAGTCGGGATAGCAATACAAGAAGTTGTCAGCGGGGTTGCCCTGGTGGTGGCCGGGTTCCGAATAGGCAGTCGACTCGATGTGGTCGAAATGGGCAAGGTCTCGAATGTCGCTGTCATAACCCAGGTGTAGCGTACTCCAGCCCGCGGCCCTGAGCTCGGCGGCAAAGTCCGTCAGGTTGACCGCTTGGAGGACAGTCGCGTCGGCAGGCATGTTTGTGGGAGCTTTGCGGGCTTCGTAGCCGCCTTCGAACGTGACACTCTTGCAAGTATCATCAGCTTGGGCAGCGATGGGGAAGAGGGCCACCAGCGACGCCAGGAGGACGGTCGCGAGGGTGACCGTGGTCTTGAACGACATCATCGTATTGTATCCGTAGTGATACCGTTGTGGGCGGTTGCTGAGATGATGTTCTGCGTTTCGAAAAGGTTAGAATTGGAGGTACACTCTGCGAGATGGGTGACGGTATCATCAAACTATTTCGCGGGTTTATGCTTTCTAGACGTACCCCTATTTCTCACAGTCCTCTGGGGCGTTTTCACCTGAATCCAGGCCACACCCTTCAAGAAGAGTATTCTGTAAGAATTCGGGCCTATAAAATTCTCTCTTGAGCCTCTATTTTCTTTTTGGAATACTCATATGCAGTGTTGGAAGGTTAGTTGCATAGGAAGGCGCAGCGAATGCGATAGGGAAGCGGCTTGCTGATACCAAGATCGGAATAAGTATAGGAAGAAAAAAGGTCTTTAGTACGTGGGACGAGTACTAGGGGCTGTGGGATATGCGGTTTTGTACATGGGACGAGTGCTGATGACTTTGGGATAAAAGGTTTTGTACAGTAATGTTGTCGTAGTGGTTGATAATCATGAAAGATCCCAAGGATAAGTGTCGGCAATCGTAGTGTATGTGTAGACTATCCCATACAGAATTCTGGTCGACGGGAAAGAGGACAAGGACGAGAATGAGGTCAAGGAAGGTGTATGACAAGTGAAACTAGACTGATTTGCTAAGAGAGACGTACCGTTATGAACAGACACGTACCAGCAACGGGACCTTGAGAATCCAAGAGAAGAGCGAAGGCACCGGTTGATGAAGCGTTGAAGAAGAAAATGACGAAACGTGTGGAGCCAGTAGACTTGAAGTGAACGGCAAAGTGAATGCTTAATGAATAGCTGGTTGTAAGAAAGGAAGGAGCTGACTGGATGATGAGAATGGCAGACGGCTGATCTGGTGGAAAGAAGAGGAAGATAGGCACCAAGGGGAAACGGGTCAAATCTGACCTTAAATACCTCTAGGCATTACCCCAAGTAACAGGTTGCAGACGAGATGCACTTGCCTCATGTACAAAGAAGCAAGGAAAGACAGCACGTAGAAGGTCCGGATGGAAAAGACCGGCGTTCTGACCAGGAATCCAGATGGAAGGTGCCAAGCAGGACGATACACAGCACTATCTGCAAGCTGTTCTCGCTGGAATTCCATGGCACCCGCATACATAAGCACCGTATGCCCGTGGCTTTCCCAACCCGGAATATGCGGACAACGTGCCGGCACAGACAGCACAACCTGTTCAGTTCAATTGAATTCCTGTCATGAGCTGAATCCGTCTGCCTATTCTGACTCTTCCCCATCATCATGACCGCCATCCTCTTCTGTCTCTTTCCCATTAACTGGCGCTCCCTCTCCGCCCTCGGCCTGCGCAGCCTTTCTCCTCTTCTTCTTGTTCTTCTTCTTTTTCCTGTTTTCATTTTCCTTCTTTTTCTTGGCCTGTTGAGACTGCCCAGAAGTTGTGCCAGGTTCGCTATCTGCTGGCTTGGGCGTATCTGTTGGCGGAGTTGTGGTGGTGGCTGTCGTCGGACTTGGTTGCTGCTTTGCGCTTGCGTCTGGTTTACGCTGGCCATCTGTTGCTTCGTTCGTGGCAGCAGCAGCAGCAGCAGCAGCAGCAGCAGAAGCAGGATTTTTCTCTGCCTTGTCCGGCTGACCCTGTCCTTCATTCACCACCTTGTTATCACCCGCCACTGCCTTGCTCCCCTGTCCAAGCATTGCCCCTGATACAGGCAAAGGCACCGCTCCCCTCCCCTTCGCATCACCACCACCAGGCTTCCCTGCCCTCCCCGCTCCTCTTCCCCCCTTCGAACCCCCATCCAAATCCGCAGAGACCACACCCCTCCTCTTCCCCCTGACAGCCCCCGCCCTGCCCACCTCCTCCTCACTCTCACTCTCCTCCTCCATCTTTTTTCTCTTCTGTCCCTGCTGCTGCTGCTGTCCGCCGGGCTGCTGCCACTTCAACCCCATCTTCCTCCCCAACTCTCTCTCTTCTTTGCTCCCCTGCATTCCTCCTTGGCTTCCACCGTTGTTGTTGTTGTTGTCAGACTTGGACGGCGGCACCCAACCCAATCCAGCATTAGGAGGTTGGTTAAGTATCGACCTGATTTCTTCTTCGTGGTCTGGGATTTTGCGTTCTTCTTCTTCTTCTCCTTCTCCCTCCTGCTCTGCAGGTGTCGTCGTTGATGCTGATTTTTGCTGCTGCAGAAGGGTTGAGAATCCCCCGGACTTGGTGGTCGGCTTGCTTGATGTTGTTGAACTGCTGGTGGTGGTGGAAGACACCGAAGGGCGATGCTTGGAGAGAGAGGCCAATAAGCCGCGGTGCTTGGACATGGAGAGGGAGATGGAGTTGAGGACTTGGTTGAGGTCGGGGGCAACGGGGGGTTTGCCTCCGTTGCCGCTGGGGCCGGACCCGTTGGCTGAGGGTTTGGACATTTTGGTGTGTGTGTGTGTGTGTGGTGAATGAAGCGCAATTTCTCTGCTAGAGGTTGACTGAGTGGTGATTGCGGTTGAGATTCGCAATTGCAGCGCCTTCAGTTGGATGAGAAAGTTGGATGAGAATAATCGGAACTGAAATCCGCTTCACCAATTTGAGTAAGTGAAAGCGTGATTCCCGCCTGCGCTACGTACGACCCGATCCCGGATAGCGTGAGATTCCAGAATGAAAAGTGCAGACTCGAATGCTACTACCCCGTGACCGCGTTGTGGCAACTGGAAAAAGTTCAAAAACTCGAAAGAACGTCGTCGAACCACTCGATTCCAGAAAGAACGTCGAAGTTGGAAAGGTCCTTATCGGAAATTTCGCTGCTTTACCGAGCAGCGTTATTTCATTGGTTTTTCTCGCCAGATTAGAGAGACCCACTTATTGCCGCCCGCTAAGCGGAGCCCGGGCCCGGGCCCGGAAGCTCACGAGCCGCACGGGCGGCCAAACGGAGGAATTTCCCCTCGGGAGGCCGGTGACTGTTGCCGTCCATGTCTTTTCTTTGTTACGTCATCGCCCTTTGTATAGTGCCGATATCGGTGTCATGTTCAAGATTCGGCAGATTGCTGCGCCGGGATGCACACAGAAGCCGCTGTCCGCGGTGCTCTGAGGTGGAGTGTTGGTTCGGTCTCAAGGTGCCCGGGATTAAGTTGATCGATGGATGTCAAGGACAGAGTAGGCACAAGACTGATGGTTGTGTTCCTGGAAACTGTAGTGGCAGTGTTTCCGTCTGAGAGCGACACACAGCCCAGATATACCTGGGAAGTACTGGTAGTTCACATCCTTGGATAATCATTTGCGTCATTCTGTAACACTCGCCCTAGTTGGGTACTTTATTCTTAATTCGATTATTTGTAGCACTATACTACTGGTAAATTACTACACCCGCTCGTTTGGAGAGCCTCGCTGTCAAGGTCGGTGAGTGAACAACAGGTAGCTTCTACCAATCTCACTCTCACTGACTGCTCCAGTTTTTTCGGGAAATACCATATCTCGACAAATTCCCGACCCGCCGTCAGCCGTACCGCCTCAATCCATTTTACCATGCTTCCCCATCCTTCCCCATGAGTAATGCAAAGCGAACAACAAGAAAAGATTGAATATAGATGTTAAGGGAAAAAAGAAAGAGTTTGGAGGAGACAGCCATGAATTTCAGAGTTGCCACGCAAGTATTAGGTCAGTTTAGTAGTGTAGGTATCCAATAACTATCCAACGGCATCTCCTGGATCCACCGCAAGTAAAAGGAACAGATAATCTAGCAAAAGAAACAAGGAAAAAGGAAAATGATGGCGGTACGATCAGTCCGAATGTGTTTTGGTATAGTGGAAAGTACTTTGATTAATGACAAGGAGGAGGAGGAGGGTAACGGTGGTTGGTTATGGTGGTTTATTAGACGCTGTGTTCGACGTCTCTGATGCTTTTTATTTCCTTGAAATATTTCCAATCTCAAGATGCTGACAAAAGCTTGTACCCTGAAATCTCGCGGTTAAATCCTCTGCATTTGGTTCGGATGGTGTTGCACATGCAGTCGATGTTTGAGAAGGTCGTTTCAACATGATTATAAAAAGGATAATATGCACAACATGACGTCTCAAGATGCGTTTTGGCAACCTCAGATTAGACGTTTTCGTTTGCGGTCTTCATCGCCTCGGGGATCCTCGTCCTCGTCGTCTCTTTCCGCAGTATCGGTTGGGTTCAGGATATGGGCCATGCTTCCTCTCCTCGTGGGCGGTGCCGAGTGATCCCTCACCGAAAGATTCTTGTTATCACGGCCAGCCGAGTTCCAAGACCAATTCCCAAAAGTGTCCCCTCCACCGTTAGTAGAGAAGGTCGGAGGCGGCGGCGGCGACGCTGGCCTGGAACGAGGATGCGAAGCAGACTGCAGAGAGTAGTGTGAAAACGAATCGCGAATACGTTGGTCTTCGGACAACCCAGGACGATTTGGCGACGAAGGCCATTGCGAGGATGGTGGGCCAGAGAAGGTTGGAGGAGGGTTAGGAGGAGGAGGGTTGGCTTGCCAGCCGGCAGCACGGATGTCAGCAGAGGTATGTCTCCTAGCCAAGCCCGGGTGCAGGTCAACGCTCGACAGCGGATGCGGAGGTGGAGGCGGCGGGTGCGGGCGGAGGGAAGATGGCGATGTCCCTGTCGAGTTGCCGCTAGTGGAGCCAAACGGCCTACGACCCGGAGTACTTATCGACAGGTTTGAAGGGACGGCAGGACGATAATTGTTGTAAGTTGGAAGCCGAGGTGGTTGACCGGGAACCGTCAAAGTAGAGCCAGATCTTCGCGGGTCGTCTTGGGGCATCTGCCGCGGTGATACGGGGGCATTCTCCACATTGGAAAAGTAAGGACGCGTACTAGCGAAGACCGACCCGTGAGGCTCATCCAGCGAGCGGAACTCCTCCATCTGGCGCTGAACCTGCCCTTGCAAAGACGATACTGGAAAGCATATTAGAAACCCGGTCACCCGCATTCTTCCAAGTAAAGGACTTACCGTCGTGGTGTATCGGGTTGTCAGGAGAAGGAGCAAGAGCAAGAACGGCCCGGGAAAGGTCATGGTTGAACTGAAGCAAACGCGATACCGTGTCCATAATGGCCTGATGCTTGATATGCATAAACTGGGCGTTCTCTTCATGCCGCTGAAGTCGAGTGCTGAGATCATATAGAGTATGCTCGATATTGTTCAGCCGAGGATCTCCTCCTTGAACTTCCTGCATGGGAGGCATAGGCTCGGCCGGGGTACCTGGTTGTGATGGCGGAGCCTTCTGATTGTTGCTGTACTCTCTATGTACCAGAGAATGCCGAGAAGCTCGACGCTTAATCTCCCGCAAGCTGACCAGGTCTCCGCGTTTAAAGTTGCCGTTGCCATGCTTGAACTCCCAAATGGTGGCGTCTGGAGCTCCATGGTGGAAGACATCGCTCACTTTTTGACCATGTTAGTGACTGTTGGTAACCAGCTACATCGGGAAACTCCTTACCTTTGTGAAATCCGTACATGTTGAGCTGGCGAACGAAGGAGGAAATGTTGGTATGTTTAAAGTATTGACTGCTGGCTGTTAGCGATCTGGTTCAGTCCAGAGCTGGTCGTGATTTTCCAACTTACGCCAAGACCTTGGAGAACTCTTGCGACGGCTGCATGACGAAGCTCTCAGAGGTGGGTGACCACGATATCAGATGCTGTATCGACTTATCCTCCAACATGTTATATAGCTTATGGATGAAGGCCGTCTGAACAATCTTGGGCTGGTGAACCGCGGGGGCAGCGGCAGCCGGTGCTGGCATGATGATGTTATCGGGAGACAACTGATCGTTTGCGGATGACAGTTGCGGTCGGCCATTGGGGGCTGCCTGGGCGTTTAATGTATCCTCGACCGGGCTCTTGGGCGGCGGTAGGGAATCCGAATTACTTGGAGCTGCCATGGTAGCGTTGTTGTTGTTAATGCTATTGCTGTTACTGTTGCTGCTGCTGTTGCTGTTGCTGGAGGTGATATCCATTGGGTCGCCCGGGGGAGCCGACATTTGGATGGTTGGTGTGATGATCGATAGGTTTCTTCCACCCATTGAGTTCTCTGGCTTGTCGGCCAGGTGGTTTCTCGGTGCGCTTTCAGTTGCGGTAGCCATCTGCACTGTACGTGGGCGACAGCCGTGTCAGCAAAGCGCAACGAAGTAACATGAGAAGAGTTTGAGATAGGAAGGATATGTTCCATCCAGTCCAGCACTCCGGACCGGACCTCGGATGACACATGCTGGGTGTGCTCCGTGTAGTGAAAGGGAAGCCGGCGATAGACCGGATGATAGGCCGGCCGATAGACGGCAGACCCCGGGCCACTTTGCCCATATAGAATCCGTTCTACCTCGATTGCACATTGTTTGCGCAGCGAGCATCCCAGAAGACATGGAGGGGAGGGGGATATTAGCCTACCTCATCGCGTGGCGCAAAAGAAGCTGATGGTTCGTTGCGCGTCAATTCAGTCAAGAAAGTCCCCCACCGTGTCGAGGCTAGCTTTTTTGTCTATGCTTTGTTCGCGACGGCGACTCGTCAAGAGGTTTGAGGCTTGCCCGTGTCTGTCTCCTGCTCTTTCCCGTAGCGTGTGGCCAGGACCCGCTTAAAGTGCTATTTCAAGATGGCAGTTGTTGGATCCTGTGCGAGCGACCAAGACAATGGGCGTGGTAACAGGTAGCCGGTAGCCTTGATGCAAGTCGTGGACCCAAGCTGTCCCAGACAATGGATTCTCGTTCTGCAGCCGGGGGCGGTGGGCGGTGGGCGGCCGGGAGGTCGATCGAGAAGCGTCGGTGGCAGACAACCAGAATGTCCGTCTGTCTTGCTTGTGGTGGGAATGAGCAAGCAACAGGGAGGGAGGGAGAAGGACGAGTTGGGCGAACGGAGATGGCGTGGGGAGGAGGAGGGAGGGGGGGGGGGGGGGAAGGG